CTGCAGATGAAGGTGGACTCTGCTTGAGAGGTCTTCAGCTACCCTGACCTATGGGGGAAAGAGAAGTAAAGAATTAGCAAAAGAAAGAAATAAAAAAATCATCCTATCTTTCTGATTGAGAGAAGGAGGGGGCATGAAGATTGGGAGCTGGGGCTAGGGCTGAGGGTTAGCCCTTCCTCAGGTTCCTTGACTGGATAGGGGGCTGCAGATGGAGATGGACTCTGCTCCTGATATGTACTTTGAAAACCAATATACATCTCTCCTAGTAGCGTATGAGAGATATACTCCTCCTCCTTACTGACAACACATACTGGGTTTGACAATCTTTTAATTTATGTATATGTATGTGGTCAATATTTATCAACATTAAAAAATACAATTTTTGGGACCAACAGATGGCATAATGTTTACATTACTGGACTCCCACATGGTTGACCATGGTTTGAGTTCTGGACCTGGCCACTTGAGACTCATGCTGGGCTTGTGTGTGTATGTGTCCAAAATCCTGAGAGGAGAATAGAGGAGAAGGGATTGTGGTATGGCCATCCCCCTGAGGAGGTGATTTCTTGCTTTCTGTCTCTCCAGCGAGCACATGTGCTCTATAGCAAAAATCTCTTTAATCTATCTATCTATCTATATACATACACACACAGACACAGACACATATATGTGTGTGTATGTATATATGTAGATAATATATATATATTATGCGTGCATGTGTATGTGTATATGTATGTGTGTGTGTATATATATGTGTGTGTGTGTATATATATATATATATATACACACACACACAAATAAAATAGATATAGTTTGCTCTAGGGTACTTGCTTTTGTGGGGGGGGGGTTGGCAGGGAGAGAGAGAGAGAGAGAGAGCATGAGAAAGCACCCTTCCAAGGGACATGGCCATCTGCAATTCCTTGTCCTCCATTGTCTTCTTGGAATTCTGGGAATACACACACATGTGCCTGGAGTATTTATTTATTTTTTTGGGAGAGATTTTTGCTATAGGGTGTACGTACTTGCCGGAAAGACAGAGAGAGACAGAGAGATAGATAGTGAGAAATCACCCCCCAGGGGGATGGCCACCCTGCAATCCCATCTCCTCCATTCTCCTCTCGGAATCTTAGGCATGCACGCACACACACCTGGCGCGAGTTTAAGCTACCGGGGCCAGGACTCGACCCGCGGTTGGCTACATGGGAGTTCAGCGACATAGCCATTATGCTAACTGCTGGTCCCAGCCAGGTGTATTTTTCAAGCTACTGGGTTGGGATTTAAACTACACATTTAGTCATGTGGGGTCCAGTTGCCTTAACAGCCACCCCACCTGGCTGGCCCAACATTAAAAATATTTATAAAATGGGGACTAGTAGATGGTGTAATGGTTCCATTGCTGGAATCTCACATAGTCAACCATCGTTTGAGTCCTGAACATGGTGGCTTAAATAGCTCACGCCGGGTGTATGTGTGTATTTGCCCAAAATCTTGAGAGGAGAATGGAAGAGAAGGGATTGTACTTGGCCATCACCCTGGGGGGTGATTTCTCACTTTCTGTCTCTCTGTCTCTTCAGCAAGTATACACAGGTTTTAGCAAAAATCTTTCTCTAAAAAAAAAAAGGAAAAAAAATTATGAATTGAATCCAGAAATTCCGTACATTTGATTTTGTAATTATTCTATCATCCACTTTCCACTCCTACCCCCAACTTGTTTTGGAGGCATCTACTGCCCCTTTTAAAATATAAGCTCCATATTGCTAGGAACCCAGTCTATCTTATTCACCATGGTATCCTTGGCATTTACAAAGTGCTATGTTTTATTAGCCTGGAACTGAATAATAAATACTTACTGATAGACTGAAATGGTGGAAATGTAGTTTGAATTAAAGTCGTTTTGGTTCTAGTTCTCTTGATTTTTTTGGCATGCTATACAGTACAGATATAGTTAATGGACAGTTATTATTCTTTTTTAGCTTTTGTAGGTGGGAGATGCCAAAGACAATGTATGTGAAGGGTCTAGAACCCATTCTTAGAACACAGAAAATGCTCAATAAATGCAGTTGATCTGGGGATTGTTGCTTAGTCTGTGACTTCCCTAAAAACTCGAATCCTCCAATATCAGTTTCTGAAATAACCCAGCTTTCTTCCTGACAATATGTGGATGTTCTCTCTTGACACTGGAATTCTTCTAGGAGTTAGTATAGATGTTTCTTCCTTGTGAGACTAAAACCATAGTCACAGGTACTAATTAAATGATGGCATCAACATTGTTCTAACCTATGAATGATTCAGTAGTTAGTCCCAGCACTGCTTCAAGAGACGATCCAGTGAGGAAGAATTAGTCTCCCGAAAGCACACAGTGCTAGTAACCATTTTGTTACCATCCCCACCTTATAAAGAACCCTTCTCAGTGGGAGGAGGAAGATTTTCTGTGAGACTCTGCTGAATAATCTTAGCAAAAAGAAGAGCTAGTTATCCCTTTTGTGAAGCAATTTTTGTTTGTTTTCCTTGAATATTGGCAACAGTGCTTTCTGACTTTTCAAAGCAGGTGGAGAATGGAAGGTGGTGAGTATACAGGAGAGGGCACAGACTGGAGCAATAAATGATCAAGGTTCTAGTTGCACCCATGCTGGGATTCATCTGTGTGACTTTGGACCAACTGCACTCACTCTGAGTCTACATTAGAGTGGAAGCAATTGAAAAAGCTGACAAGAAATATCATCGCATTCTCCAGCAGATATAAGGGAAATGGATGATGAAATGAATTCCCAGCTGCTTGTCAATGAATAACCCCTTTCTGGGCTTTCACCTACCATAAGACATTTTCAGCTTAGATTAATTTCTCTAATTGATAACAACTTCTCATCTGTGCGTTGCCTCAATGTAAAAAATAATTCAAATTTTATCCAATATTTTAAAGACATGAAACAGTGAAATTTGGAATGAAATGCTTGGATCTGGCTTTGATGACCATTCTATGATATTAAGAGGTAAAAATAATTCTATTGTCCTCAGAGCCAGTCAATGTAATTTTTCTGTTATTCTAAAAATTAAAAAGTACAACCCAAATAAATGGGTAGTGAAATAATTTTATTAAAATCTTCATTACTTTGCACAGAATAAGTTTATCATGTTTTTCATGTCCTTTCTGCAACCTCAGGGTATAGCAGTACTCATCTTTATTTTATAGATAAATTAAAAGTTGTCCATGGTTATCCAGCCAAGAAATTACAGAAGAAGGATTTAGACCCAGATGTGTTTAAATGAGAATATAGTACAGTGAAGCCCACAGCTCCTGTGGGTAGACTGCCTGGTATAAGCCCTCGATCTGCCACTCATTAGCTTTCCTGCTCTGCAAAATGAGGATAAAAACAATAGTCTCTTTGTGGGGGTGATGTTAGGGTTAAACCAGCTGACATGTGTCACGTAGCTTAGACAGTCCATGGTAGAGAATGAGTGCTACTTAGGGGAGTTATCTTATTACTGCTGTCTGTGCTCTCGACCATAATGTCCTTCTAACAAGGTTCTCATCACACGTGTGACTTGCAGAGCTGTTTGTGTCTTCTTACAATAGTGTGGAGAGAGAAAAAGAGGCAGCTTGCTGACAGTACAGAAATCTCTCTAGCTTTTCCTGTATCTGGATGTCTCATCTTCTGACACTAGTTCTTGTTGATTCTTATCATCCTGAGCATTACAACTTCAGCAAGTTGAAAGATTCATATTTGCAGGAAAAGAATAAGGTGGTGGAGAGGGCTAAAGGCAGTCTTTTATTGTGTGTGTTTGTTTAACTAATACTGAGATAGGCATAGCTACTTCCTTAATATTGTTAGGAGAATAAAGGGTAGGTAGGGATATGCTACCCCCGGTAGCTTGTCTTATGTAGTTAATAGGCAGATAATCATGTATAGAATCTTTCATTGACACATACAATTTTTTGTTTGTTTTTTTCCTACTTTCAGTTCACTCTATAGAATGTAGCCTTTAGCTAGAAGGATTTCATCAAGGCCAATGAAAATAGCACCAAGAAGTAAAGTGTTAAAGCTGATTAAATTAAATTAGGTTGACCTCTTAGATGTGATGTTGTCCATAGCATGGGCACAAAGTGGGAGTAAATGGACAGGGAGAGAAACAGAGAAGTTGGGAAACCAAGCTGTCACTAGATAAGTTTCTCTCAATTTTGCTTTAGTTTATCATACATCAATTTGTTATCATCAGAAAATCTGAATAAAAGAGTGGCACACCTCTTTGCAAAGTCTAAGAAGAAAGTTTTTATTCAAAGGGAATGAAACTTACATATAGAGATTGCTGGAGATCCTAAATATTCATGGTTTTCTCAAGTGCCATCTTATCTATGTTTAAAAATGATCAAAGATGTACTCTGTTTGAATTAGAAAGTTTGAGTCAGAAAATCAGTGTCTATCAACTGTTCAACATCAGCCGTAACAAAAATGCGAATTTAGATAATTATGTTATTATTCTCACCTATTTAATAATAATCTAGATAGCTAAGACATAGTGCTGTTAAGGTTAACATATAGACTGGGACTGGTAGGTGGCATAATGGTTATATTGCTGGATTCCCACACAATACATCACAGTTTGAGTCCCAGATCTAGTGGTTTAAAACTCATGCTGGGCACGTGTGGATTCGTGCCCAAAATCCTGAGAGGAGAATGGAGGAGAAGGGATTGCAGTGTGGCCATCCCCCCTCGGGGGTGATTTCTCGCTTTCTGTCTCTCTGTCTGTCTCTGTCTATAGCAAAAATATCTCTTAAAAAAAGTTAACATATAGATAATATGCTCACTTTTTGTGGTTAATAGAATAAATTGGTATAAGAATTCTGAAGCAGCAAAAGAGGGCTAACAGGAACAGCAGCAAGTGAGTGTACTAAAGGAAACTGAGCAACACCCCCCCCCGCCCCGAGTCAATTGTGTTACTTATGGTTCTCTCTTGACTTTATAGGTAACACTGTACCTGCATTCCCAGTACCCTGGTGATCTATGGAAATACCAGACAATATTACAGAATTTTTCATGCTGGGACTCTCACAGAACCCTGAAGTTCAGAGAGTCCTTTTTGTTTTCTTTTTGTTTGTCTATGTACTCACAGTGTGTGGCAACATGCTTATTGTAGTTACTATCACCACCAGCACCACCCTTGTTTCCCCTATGTATTTTTTCCTAGCCAACCTCTCCTTTATTGACACCTGTTATTCTTCTTCTATGTCCCCGAAGCTTATTGCTGACTCTTTATATGAGGGAAGAACCATCTCTTATAAGGGCTGCATGACTCAGCTCTTTGGAGCCCATTTTTTGGGAGGCGTAGAGATCATTCTTCTCACGGTGATGGCCTATGACCGCTATGTGGCCATCTGCAAGCCCCTGCACTACACAACCGTCATGACCAAGCATCTCTGTGCCATGCTGGTGGGAGTGGCTTGGTTGGGGGGATTCTTACATTCACTTGTTCAGCTTCTTCTGGTTCTTTGGTTGCCCTTCTGTGGGCCCAATGTGATCAATCACTTTGTCTGTGACTTGTACCCCTTGCTGGAACTCGCCTGCACCAATACCTACATCATTGGTCTGCTTGTGGTGGCCAACAGTGGTGTGATCTGCCTAGTGAACTTCCTCATGCTGGCTGCCTCTTACATTGTAATCCTGCACTCCTTAAGATCCCACAGTCCAGAGGGGAGACGCAAGGCCCTCTCCACCTGTGGGGCCCACTTTACTGTTGTGGCCTTGTTCTTTGTGCCCTGTGTATTCACCTATATGCGTCCATCAACTACTTTACCTATAGACAAAAACATGGCATTATTTTATGGTATTCTGACACCCATGTTGAACCCACTCATTTATACCTTGAGAAATGAAGAGGTAAAAAATGCCATTAGAAAACTCTTCACACAGTAAGATTGCAGGTGGGTAATAAGATATAAAACAGTAAGTAAGAATAGTTTTATTTCTGCAAGAAAAATCACCATATATCATCTTGTTTCATTTTTATGTATTTTCATCTTCATAAGCTTTCTCATTTATTTAGTAATTTTACTTAAATTATTTAATTTGTTTATAAATATAATATGACATGTAGGAGGGGGGTCTTTAAAAAGTTTATGTAAAATGCATATTATGAAAAAACCATATGGATTGTAAATGTTTTGCATCTATCTACATAAATATGATTTTTAATTTTATTTTTCATGAACTTTTTTCTTTCTTTTTTGTTTTTGAGAGAAGTTTTTTCTATAGGGTGTGTGTGCTTATTGGAGAGACAGAGAGAGAGAGAGAGACAGAGACATAGAAAGCAAGAAATCACCCCCTGGAGTGATGGCCATGTCGCAATCCTTTCTCCTCCATTCTCCTTGGAATTTTGGGCACACATGCACACGCACCTGGTGTGTTTCTAGTCGCCAGGTCGAGGACTTGAACTTGGTCGACTACATGGGAGGCTAGTGATGTAACCTTTATGCCATCTGCTGGTCCCTTTCATGAACTTTTTAGTCTTTTCATATATGGCATGAATAATTATTTCTGTTTTAAAAATGAGAAAAGTGTCTCCCAATATAATTAATTAATCAAGTTTATCTAGTTTTGAAGTGCCTAAACCACAACTCAAAATCTATTAGTTTTGATCTATCATCCAGATCTTTCATTAGCAGTTGCTGATATCCTTTGAGTCTATGTGACAGTAAATTAAACTGTAGAAATATGAGGCACAATAGAATTCCATAAGTTCATACTTAGCTACATAAAATTTTCCAAAATTTATGGTAAATGTATATTATGAAAATACTATGCATGGATTAATTTTTTTTTTTTGGCACCAAAATAGACTCATGCTTTAACTCCATTTTTTCAGGAACTTTTTGAAACCCCTCTGTACAGCAGTCTCATGTGCATCCAAGCCTGGCTTCTTTCCTTTTCATCAACTTTGTGACATCAGCAGTATAGCGTCTACGTCTAGTAGAGCGATTAAGAGTGTGGCCTGGGGACAGATCAATGTGACTTTGGTCTTATTTCCTATGCTTACTAGTGGCATGACCTTGAGTAAGTCATGAAATATCTAGAAACCTTTGATGCTTGCTTTTAAACCAAAAGTAACAATATTCTAGGTACCACCTATACAAGAAATCATGTAATATTTGTCTTTCTGTGTCTTGCTTACTTCATTTAGCATAATGACATAATGTTCTTTTTAAAAAAATTTTTGCCAAGTTTTCTCTCTCTCTTTAAAAATTTATTATTAACACAATCTCATTTATATTATATTGAATCACATATAACTTTACAGTGTATTACATTTCTTTTTCCAGAAGGAATACCATGCTTATCAGTTAATACAAAGACATTAAAATCCTCATCATCCAATAGCTTTTCATTATTTTTTCCTTATTATTATTATTATTATTATATCATTCCAGTTATCTTTTTAAACATTTAATCATTATCATTTTGCTTGTAAAAAGACTTTTCCCAACATGAAATACTTCTCAGACCAGTCCAGTTGGGAATACTATACATGTCATCAACAGGTAATAAACCATAGCTGAGTCCCACTAATGTCATGCCTCTCTATTTGTTCTCTTGCTATCCTTCTCCATACTCCTTTTCTCCTGCCCCATTCCACACTGTCTTATTACTAACTATTTTCACTGCTTTTATGCCCTCCAATATTTCTATCACCATAAAGTGCAGATAGTCGGTATGTGTGAAGTGGATACATACAATACCTTTCTTTCATATCCTAGCTTAATTCACTCAGCAATATGACATAATCTTCTCCATGGCAAAATTTCCTTTTTAGTTTTGAAGTGTCAACTATGTCTCTTGATAAATCTGAGAAAGAAAGGTAAAGAGCATATGTGTTTCCATTGTTATTGTGAGAATTAAGTGAGATAATTCATGTAAAGTTCTTAATGTAGCTTCTGGCACATAGTAAACTCCCCTATGTTCATGTGCAATTATGATAGCTCATTGCTAATCTTCCATAAAGAGCTTGACATACGTATACACACACACACACACACACACACACACACACACACACACACATCTATATCTATATGCTTTCAATTTCTCCTAGGGTTGAAATATATACTTCCTCTAGAGTAGGTAGTTTATTTTTGGTATGTAGCGCAAAGTGCTATTTCCTTTTATTTTCATTTTTCCTTTTATTTTATTTTTCCTAACTCTTTTTGTTTCAAACTTCAAGGGATTCTAATGTTCTGGAATCTGAAATGTATGTCCATGTTCTTCATCTTTTTCCTAGTTTTATAAACTCTGACGATATCTCTTCCAAAACTTCACCCTTTGTGTAATTTTCCATAATTTATAATAAACTTATTTTTCATTTGACAAGCAATCTGTAATTCATCATATAATAATATATTCACTCTTAACATCAAGAAAAAAAGACTAGAAATTAATATAAAAAGAAGCTTTTCTATTATAAGAAGAAATCTTCAAAATTAGTCTCTAAGAATCTATAAATTAGGAGATTATTAGGAAATTGTTCTTGTTTTATATCCCCATACTTTCATCCATAAAAGTAAACAGTTGCAGAGTTTTAGACAAAATAGATACTATTTTACTTTGTCATGTTTTTATAGATTAATTCATAATAAGCAAGTATAACTGAGAACATGAAGCGTATAGGCACTCATTTCTGGTTAAATTATAAGAATATAATTGAGCCCATTTCCTAATCTACTAAAAAATATGAAATCATGACACTTCCTAAATAATAGCTTATCTTTTTGTCAGCTTGAGGTTTTCTGGAAAAGCATGACAATTTTAATGGAATTAGAAAATTTTCTGCTTTTCATTGCAGTTAAAATATTGAATAGCTGAAGAGATTAATGCTAATGCATTTCTATTTTTTGTCATCCTAATGACTATTAGCAATCTCCAAACTAACTTTTGAGTACTACTTATTTTTGAAAATTTTCAATCTTCTCGATTTTCTTTTCTTATTGTCAGAGGGTACATGCACTTACTAGAGAAAAACAGAAAGAGAGAGAGAGAGAGAGAGATAGAGAGAGAGAGAGAGGAGTCTCTTCTCTTTCATTTCTTCATCCTGTTGGCATTTGCACATATACCCAACTTGTCTTTCAAGGTGTGAAGCCAGGATTTGAACTGTGGTGGGCCATGTATGATCAAGTTTCCTTAATCACTAGGTTATGGGCTGGCTCAAACTGGCTAGATTAAATACATGGGCAAATATTATGAGAGATTTTCTAGATGACTTAAAAATAATTACTAATCTTATTTACAAAGTAGTTGGATCTTCATTTTAGAGGTCATGTAAAACATATTTCCCCCATATACATATTTATTTTAGCAAATTTAGAAAGTAAAAATATAAAGATGGTCAATAGATGTATCAACACACATATGTGTGTGTTTCATGTGTGTTACATGTGCGTGTAAATCTACCGAGAAGCCCCATTACTTAAAGATAATTCCTATCCACATTTTGGTGAATGTACTTCTAGTCATCATCTTTTTTTCCTCCTGCCCTTCCTCATCATTGTCATCCTTCCCCTTTCTCTCTTTTTCTCTCCCTCTAAATATCATGTCATCATATATATGACATAAATATGTGATAATATTTCCACATTGATTTGTTTAATCTGCTTTTCCTTTTTAAAATTATGTATGGGACACATATACACATTATTCAAATTTTTTTCTGTGACATCAATCTGAATGCCCTATTATGTTTGTTGTATAAGCTTACTAAACTTATTTTTCTAAACTCCTATTGGTGAGTTTTAGATTGATTCTAATTTTTGATCTTATATATAGTACTGAGACAAATATTTTCTTTTCTAATATTCTTACACATCTAAGACTAAGACCTAGTAGAAGAATAGATTTATCCAGGAACAAAGGTAGAATAATATTTTCAGTAGAGGAATATATGTAAATTAGAGGCAAGATAAGATAGAGTGGGGGCATTAATTAGGGGATCATTAATTAGGGGGCATTTAAGAATCAAGAGTCAAATTTTGTCCTGTAAATAGATAATTTCACATCATAATTAGTGCAACAATAGTGCAGGAACCAGGTAAGGTAAAGTCATGATATGAGCAGAAGGGTGTTCAGTTCTGAGTGGATCAAGGAGTATTTCATGAAGGAGGTTATATTTCAACAGGATTTTTTTTTTAAAAGAGATTTTTGCTATAGGGCTTGTGTGCTTGCCAGAGGGAGAGACAGAGAAAGACAGAGACAGACAGCAAGAAATCATCTCCTGGGGGAATGACCATGCTGCAATACCCCCCCCCCTCCAATTCTCCTCTCAGATTTCAGTTGGGCATGCATGCAATGCACCCTATATGAATTTTAAGCTGTCAGGTCCAGGACTTGAATCACAGTCAAATACATGGGAGTCCAACCATGTAACCCTTATGCCATTTGCTGGTCCCAATTTCAACAGGACTTTGAAGAAAGAGTAAAAGGCGTCCAGTAAGCTGAATAGAAATTCAAGGAATGAAAAGTGAATTTCAGTCATGGGGATAACATATTTTCAGGACACATTACATGGTTTGTTTGACTGGAACATAGGAAAGCAGTGAGAGACATCAACAGTGGCCATATTGGGGAAGAATATGTATGAGTGGGTCTTTTGATTCAGTTTTGTGAGAAAATGTGGAGCTGTTTTACAGTTTTAAAATAAAATGAGAGTCCTGCTTTACATGATATGAAAATAAATTTATAAACTCAAAGGACAATAAACTTAAAAATTTCCACTCTGACGATATCTCTTCCAAAACTTCACCCTTTGTGTAATTTTCCATAATTTATAATAAACTTATTTTTCATTTGACAAGCAATCTGTAATTCATCATATAATAATATATTCACTCTTAACATCAAGAAAAAAAGACTAGAAATTAATATAAAAAGAA